GTACCCGTTTGCGACCCTGGTGCAGCCGGGTATGGGTACGGGTAGGCCGTGAGTCACCGGTGAGTAACCGTTTGTCACTCATTTCGGGTAGGGTACGGGTACGGGTAGCGTACGGGTACCCATACCCGGCCGGGTACGGGTACGGGTACCCGTTTGCGACCCTGGTGCGGCCGGGTACGGGTACGGGTAAGGAATCAAAACCCGTTTGCGACCTCTGCCTTCGACCATCCAACCCAGAGTGAAACGGGTGTCTGAAGATCTTACGGGGGACAAACTTAGATTTTTTTCTTCAGCGAGTGTGCGGCCACTTTGCCACTCCGCACTGTTTGCCGAAGTCACGGATCGTACACTTGTGGTATCGTATGTGATGAACAAAACTGAGCAGGACGAGGGCAGGGCAGCAGAGAGAGTCGTGAGCTTGTCTCTCGACAGGGCAACCTCTGAGCCCAGTGTGGTTTATGGCCTACAGAGTGTGGCTTTTGCCCTACCAATAGTGACACCTTATCATTGCTTGATAGAATAGATTTGGATCACATTCCAAGTTTTGAATGGTACGGAGGCGATGCCCACGATTGGTTGTTGCTCGTTATTTTCTAAACAGCCGTGGCCCAAGACCCACGAGACGCCAAAACTAATTTAACAGTGCCTTCATGAAGATGGCATCCATCATTAACGAGACATAATTAGACCGCAAGTTTGTGAATCGCGTGGGTGGGTGTTGCGGTGTGCAAAAGAACGAGTTTGTACGTAAATAAACGACAGCTAGAGCGTTCTTCGAAAGCAGATGACAGAAGCGTTAACAAAAAACAACAACCGCAGCCGAGTTGCCGGCTAACACTGGGAGGGGTGCCTCGATGTGGTGAAAACACGTGGAGGACGAGAGAGAGATGAGGCTCACACGAGATGCAATCTTCACAACGCTCAAGCGTCGAAGTTTCTTTAAACTCGAGACCAGGATTAGTTTCATTCGCAAGAGTGACCCAGGGAATTAGTCTGCGAATGGTGGGTGATGATTGCTATGTGTAGTCCCAGTTGAGTAATCTGCAGGTAATGTTTGGTGCGTATTATTATCATGGTTATTATACCCGCAGTTATATCAGGGCGGTGACTGAATTTGAACCGTGAACCTTTGCAACAAGTGGGGTAATGGCTAGTGCTGGGCCATGTGACCCTCGGTGTGTGTGGTAGCGCAAACGATTGCCTCTCACAATTCATTATAATTGTATGGTACTTTCATGGACAATTTAACACGTAGGCTTTCGCGACCAATATTTTTAATAATAAACGTTTTTGGTAGATCGGGTTATTTATAAATGTGTCGTAACACTCCACCATCCGACACAGCCAATCAGCAAAAAAGTGTCACGTTGACAAAAGACAAATAGTTCACTACTTTAGCCCACCGGTGTGTTGAAGAGTGAAACCACAACATTTGCAATTTTTGTATTTATGGGCGCTGCGAGATGTTAACTCCCTCACCTGGTATGCAGGAAGTTGTGTGTTCGATGCTGACCCTGACGCCTGCATATTTTGAGTTTGTATGTCTCTCTCCCCGTGGTTGCGTGGATATTTCTCCATGTCCTCCGGTTTTTCCTTTCACATTTAAAAACATGTATTTAGAGTATTTGGATGCTGTAAATTTCCAAATGAGAAGCCACTTTGTTTAACTATAATTTGTGGCGAGGTCACATCTGAAAAAGAGCTATATAGCTCAGTGCGCCTTACTTGGTAAAATAAAATAGTTTAGTTTGATAGTTTAGTCTTAGTTATGTTGTGGCAGCACGATCACAATTTGCCGTATCCCATAAATCGCGCGAGACCCAGTTATTACTTTTTAACAGTTTTTTATATACAACGAAGCGTGCTTACAAAAAAAATAGTTGTTCTTTAAACAATAAAGACATTGAGCCGTTTTACGGCCCGCTAATAGAGAACAACCCAATCTTCAATGATAAAATGCAGCCGGGGCAAGTCCACACACACTGGCCCGTTTAAAGGGGAACGGCGCCTTTAAAATATCGCCGCGCCGCGTGGCGTGTTGACGGTGCGACGCCGGCTCCTCGCCCAAAGTTAAATAGGAAACAAGGACAATGAAGAGGAGACGTGCGGAGAAAGAAGGGATGAGATGAGAATGGATTTCCTGGGGGAGGAAAAATGGTAACCGGCACACCGTTGGACACAATCGCTTCCAATGAGAAATGGCCATTGCATTAGCGCTGGAGAAATCACGAATGCCCGTTTATCGTTTGCGTGAGTTAATGAAAAACTGGGCCGAAACAAGGCCTGGCCAAAGCCATTGTCGCATCGCGTGATGACTGGAATTCACGGCTGGCTATAAATAAATAAAGAAGGCACTGGGTTGTATTTTTTTTTATCTTGCAAGAAAAATGCACCCTCTTGGAATTTAGTTTCCATGAACCTTTGAAATATATGCTCTCTGTGCGCTTTACCTTCAAGCGTAGACAACTTTTTACCCACGGCACACCGCGGGAAGGGGGGTAGAATCGAGGAGAGGGATGCACGCCAGGTGGCAGCTTAATATACAAACCCCAGTGGTAGCATTCCTCAAAAAACGAATTGGTTGTAACAGGGAGCTTGCCAAATTTGCAGGCAATAGCATTTTTTTTTACGTAGAATGAAAACGAATTTCTTCAGAACTACTTTTTGCGTAAAATTTGTCGTCCTTCTGCTGACCACCTCCGATTAGCACGGTTGGCTAAGGACGACGCGAAAGAAGTTCAGCACGCATCACAAGCATGACAAGGATGTAATGTAAGGACGAGGAATCATTTATGAGGAATGGGATGAAAAAGAAGCGGAGAAATGGGAGCGAAGGTTCAGGAGAGATGAGGGTATGGGGTTAGAGATTGCACCAGGGTCTGCATGGAGAAGAGTCTGTTTTCACAGTGGGTGGGGAGAGGGGGGAGGGGTTCAGTGTGTGGGTGGCTGCACAGAAGTCACGTGATTTTACAGGAGGCTTGAGCTGATATAGAGAAATGGATAGCGCTATAAAGCAATGAAATGAAGCGTTGAATGTGTCGTAGTATTTGAACGGAGCGTATTGCCATCATCGTTTGCTTCAGTCGTGCTTAACTGTGACACATTATTTTCTGTACAATAAATGTATATTTGTCGGATTATATAGATATGTATAAATAAACCTGCTATATATCAACTCATTGCATGTTAATCGTGTAATTACTGCCACGGTGTAAAGGTTAGCATACTGTGTTTAGCACCAGATAGAGGTCCCCGATTTAATCTCTTGGCATGGCAACGGGCACCATGTCCTTAATCTGCGTGCCTCTGTCCACCCAGCAGGTGTAAATGGGCGCACCACGGCCAATCCTTGGGCAGGTCGTGTGCGGTGTGGTAAAGTGTCGCGGTATTCCTGCCTCTTCCGAGATGCCTGGCCACAACCGCTCCCGTCGCCACCCCGCGTGTTGTTTACAGGGTAGCGTAAAATTGGAGGTTGATTCTCAATGAGGTTTTGCACTCGCATGTTGATTCGCAAACGAGCCACGCTCATCAAAGAATTACACCGCATGTTGAATTGCCACATCGCGCATTCGAATAATCATACCTTTTTTTCTTTTTTGCAATAGCAGGAATTTTGATTAGTTCGAGGGCTTTTCATATCTGTGCGTATGATATGTGATCTGCTTGCACTGCAGTTTGTTTTATGTGTCCTGTGCTCTGGCATGTTGAATCATAATAGTGTTTTTTTTTGGTTCGTTAATACTCTGGCTATTGCCCGTAAATTTTTGCGAGCTCCCTGTTGCAACCAATTTGTTTTTTGAGGAATATTACAACCGGGAGATGTTTATTAAGCCGTGACCTGGCGCGTGTGTGTCCCCTATGCTTCTCTGCCGGACTAGGGCTCTAAATTAAAAATGTCATTGCCATTCTATGTGCCAGCACAATACGGTCCCGTGCATCCACAAATAAAGAAACTGACAGCAATTTACATGAGCTACGGATGCACGTGCGCCGTATGTTACACGTGTACGCTCTATGTGCGTTTTATTATATGGCGTGTCCGCGAGTGAGCGCGAGCATACAGCGCAGGGAAGTGGTGGCGTGTAGTGGCTTGCACCCACTGCGCTACCTACCAAAACCATCGGCGGCCAGCGATATCTGAACCGGCTACGGGCGCTTCCTCTAAGTTGACTTGGCCTTAAATGAGTGCCTGGTTTAGTGGGTAAACATCAGCACGGGAGTAGACGAAGGTCAGCCAGGCAGGGTTCAGGTCACACCACCGACCTTGCCGTGTTAGGAACCTGCTTGACAGCACTGTGCTTGCCCCAACAGTCGGTGTGTGTGTGTGGGGGGGGGGGGACTCTGTAGGGGATCTTTGTCTTTGTTTGGGGTGTACACAATGGGGAGTCATGCTTCGTGAGTTCCTGTAATGATGCTGCAAGTAGTGGCCAAAGTTGACTTTCTGGTCACGGCACAACATCCGTGGAAAATTCTGATTTTTCTTTTATGTGGCATGTGCCTCCTTTAGATCAGCTCCGTCTGAATTAGTTTTTTTTTAGTAGTACGGTGCGGTTCGGAGGCGGTCGGTGCAGACAGCCTGGGAGGCAGAGAGGCCGCCGTTCGTGACGTTGGCTGCTCCACCTCCTCGTGCGCTGTCCTGGCCTCAATGGGAGCTCATTATAACGGCGCTTTCCCCGACGACTTGTCTGCAGCGCCTAATTGCAGTTCCCTCCTCTCCGCTCGTGTTGTGTCCAAGACGAGTTCACTTGTGGAAAAAGTTTTGAGAACTGGCCGTCGAGCGCGCAACACTTTAAGGAGAGTTTACTTAACGTGCGTTTTTTTGCCGTCGCCGTGATTATAATTTTTGTAATAATAATTTTTAAATTAAGCACATACTTCTAAGGAATGCCATTCTGTCTTACCCCTATAATCGTTCGCTTTGTGCAGCAGGGTGCCACGCAGAGGCACAACATGAGCGCTCTCGCACGCGGGCACGCTCATTTCTGCCGTTGACTTCACAGCCATAATCGTTTTTGAAGTTCCTGGAGGCTGACCCAAGGCCTCGTGGAATGCAACCGCCCCCCCAACTCTTCGCTAATTGCTTCGCTCGCACAGAAGCATGGCCAGCGGGCGGCAGCAGGGTGTCGCGGCATCTCCGAGAGCCCAGCGCAAGTGACGGTGAGAAGCGGCAAGAGAGTTTCGGGGGTTGCCACCTCTGGGCGTCGCGGTAGCGACATGTTAATTACCTCGCCTGGCATACACGAGGTCTCGTGGGTTTCAATCGCGACCCTGATATCCGTGTATATTTGGGGTTTGCTTGTCTCTCTCCGTAGCCACGTGGTTTTTTTTCTCCGGGTCCTCCGGTTTTCTCCTCCATATTTAGAATTAACGTCACGCGTTTTAGAGTATTTGGTTGCTATAAATGTCCACGTGACGATAAGCCACTTCGTTGCGCTGTCATTTGTGGCCAAGTCGCTTCTGAGTAAGAGCTCTATTGCTCAGTGGGCCTTACCTGGTAAGATAAAAAATAGTTTAGTTTAGTTTTAAGGAATCGACATTTGCCGGGCAAGGGGAACGCTAACCACGGTCGTGGAGCGATCGCGATGGCGGTGGGGGAGGGGGGGAGCGGCGGCGGCGTCGCCAGGAAGGTCGACCGCTCTCCCCCTCGCGGTGACCTCGGTGAAATTTTCCACCATTTAAATTGACCTCCAGGTGGGGAAACTCGGGGCCCCACTTGGGGCCCACTCGGGCCAACTCCGGCCAGAGATGAGCGGCTATTTCCAGAGATGAAATTGCAGGGTGGAGTGGGGGGAGAGTTGGGGAGGGGATGACGGCAACTCTGTTATCATAGAGCGCTGTCTTTTCTGAATTGCCTCAATTTTCTTCTGTTGTGCGGCTGCTATGTAGAGGGGACGGTCACGGCGGTGAAATCACGCACGGCGTAATGATGTGGGGGGTGGGTTGGGGTGGTGGGGGGTTGCGCGACCATTCACGGTGTCGCTCACAATTTAACCTTTGCCTCGCCAAATTACGATACAGCTTTTGAAGGCGCAAGTGTGACAGGCATTTTAGGACTTGTGACTGGCCTCGTGCCCATGTTTATATCCCATCCCCCCGCCCCCCCCAAATAAACAATTACTTTGTGGCGATCAGTCTGGGGAGCACTGGGCACGATGATGTTATTATTCTTTTATTCGAAAGAAAATTGCCACACTTCCTCTGGCAGTAAAGTTGCACGTGGCAGTGGCCCTGCTGGAGCTATTATCTTATACCATCGGCGAGGGTTAGCCACCCCCCCGGGTTTGATCAGGATGGGTCCGGGAACTGGCATTTGTGCTAGGGTGGCAAGAAATGACTTTTTTTTTACAGACATCTGGTACTGTTGCTGCGTTGGACTTGATGACAATGTACTGCACTGTTGTGATAATAGGCCTAAGGGTGGCTGATAATTATGCAGACTATACCCACGGCATGTATTTCCTGTCTTAACCGTGACTCGAAATTCCCCCCTCTCTGTACAGCGTCCACAACAATTCGAACGCAACAAGAGATTTTTTAAAAGACGTGCCGTTTCCTTTAGTGTGAATCACAATAGGTGAGCACCCGGTGGTAGCAACAACCAGCTCTCTTAAAGGTGTAATAGATAATTGTTAATGCCACTTGTTGAACTGAGCAAGGGTATTATGACTTGGAAAAGGAGATTATTACAGTATGCGGGATTTCAAAAAAAGAGAACGGCATACAGTACACAAAACCGATTGAAATTGAATTTGTCACGGTTTAACGTTTCAATGGCATTCCCTATGTTGAAGATTATGAATATATAATCTGAATAGGAATGCATTTGGTTTCCGTAACTTCGCCATCAGTTGATAAACAAAGTTGCCCTTCAACAGCTAATGCCAAAATAAAGAATCTGGGAAAATAGGAAAAGGTCACACGTGGATAAGACATGTGTAATTGTGTTGCAGTGTTCCCACGGTGAGTTAAACTTTGCTTAGTGCTTCCAAAACAGCAAGTTGGAATTTACCCAGAGATTACATTAATTCATCTATGGCGGTACAGATAAAACAATAAAAGGAACGGCCCCACGTTTCAAAAACGCATCGCCTGTACGCACAATCGATAGATGCATCCTCAATATGTCGGAGTCATTAAAGTGTCCGCTGCTATTTAAACATCATCTCTTCCCACGCACACCCAAATCACTGCTCGATTTTTCTGCGTCAGTGACTCCGTCCACGCTGAACCCCTTCTTATTATTTACATTTGGCATCTTCCTGCAGGGTCACGGAAGCGTGTGCAGGAGAATAAAAAAAAAACCAGCGCGCCCTGTTCAAATCGTTGCTCGATTTGCTATTTGCTCCGTTCTTATGGCGCAGGGCTACCGCAAAGGTGTTTCGTATTTCGCAGTCCGCAGTAGTTTCACAGCAGGTGGGGGAGGGGGGGAGGTGATGATCGCTGTGTGTTTTCCCAACAGAGTAATTCGCAGGAAAATTTCCCACATTTTGACACGCGTGGCCAAATTCTTCCGCGGAAAAATATCTCGGGGGTGGGGTGGTCGGGGTGGTTTTTAACGTCCACGGTGAATATACCAGCGCGTCATGTTTTACCGTTAACACGCACCGCAGTATTAACCGGGGTGACCGCGGTGCTCGAATCGCGATCAGCATCGCAGCTGATGGCGGCGTCGCCGCCGATAGCAGGGAATTTTTACAGCACAGTTCTCTGAGCCATGATATCGAAATTACGAATAGCAGTGCAGAGGCGTCGTAAAGTACGCGCAGCAGTTTAATGGCGGCGGTATGGTAATGACCACTGATGTGGGCTTCGCGAGAGCTCGCGCCGTTTAATATCGAGGGGAATTAATGTTGCCAAGTTCATCACCTTCTTGGTTGTGCTGTGAAGAATTATAGATGGGCACCTGTCAAATTTTTTTTTTTTACCAATGAGAATGATGCGTTTAAAAAAAACTTTTTTGTTCATTAACTGCCAGCGGGCACGGGTTGTAAATTCATCACACTGCATCGTTGCGCAATGTTTTAAATCGGCGTACGTTTTACCCGCGGTGGTATATGGATGAGAAAGGTGAAAAGGCTGAAAGAAAATGGAACGAAAGGACGCGAATAATCTTTAGAGAGGTACTTGCTTGGAATTACATTGATAAGCAAAAACAGGAATGCGTGTATGTAGAACATATGCAAGTTAGAGAGGGCATACATGCTGACGAGTTTTTCCAAAGTGCACTTGGCCAGGACAAACGTCGCTTTGAACTCTCCCCTGAAGCCCCCTAGTCACGGCTCGCGGACCTCGACATGGACATTTGGCTTCCCGAGAATGTATTTGCCATCGTACGCAAGAATGTAATGGGAGCCCGCCGGTGGTTGAGATTAATGATGGAGAGGCAGCCAAAGGAGGAAACGCACACGAGAGAAGACCGCACCAGGGAGACGGGGCGATGGAATCGGCTTGCACGCGCAGGTGTTAGGCTGCATAGCGGAGACCGTCGTGAAAGGCGGCGGATTCAGGAGACCTTCATCCAGTGCTGAATGGCTGTTGATGACGATCAGGATGACACGATTTTTTGTTAAATATTTTCTTTATGTTGTCGTTATTTTGGAATGTATTTGTTTCCTAGATCGTTCTTGTACAGTGAGCAAGCATTTTTAAAATCATTCCCATTGCCACTTAATTGATGCACCTTAGAATAATCTTGAACATCGAAAACCTCTGTGTCATACTCCAATAGAAGTTTGTGCGCAAATGCAATACACAGGAATTGCAAAGGAATTAACATGGTTGACTACGTACGGTGCAAAATAAGTTCAACATACATACGTACATAGGTATTGTGTTCATTTCTATTTCCTCTATGGGATTTAAATGGGAATTGGTTTTTTATTTCTATTTTGCAAATACCCATACAATTGATTCTCTTAAGGTCCTTGGTAATGACCAGAGCCCATGGAGACCATTTAACTCGCCTTCAGTTTGAATGGACCTGCAATTACCCGAAAACCGATCCTACTCTGTCTCTGCTCTCTTGGGCCAATGCTCTAACATCACCTGGGCTTCCTTGGCATGTCCCGGATGCTTTGCCGCTGTACGCAGCAGATAAAGAATAAAAGCCATTCGCTAACAAATGCTCGTCACCAAAGAGAAGAGGCAACACAATTTATCAGGCTGGCGCCGAGTGCTTAATGAGCGCTCCCTCCGTTCTTCCAGGAAAACACAAGTGTAAATTAGTTTAAAAAAAATTAAGACTATTAACTACATGCCCTTGCTCCCGTCTCTGTTTCTCTCCCAACCTTTTTCTTCTTGCAATTTGCACAGCTCAGTGGATGTCAGACTTTTTTTTTGTTTCGAGCAAATTATTTCTTCTGCCCCAGGTCGAGGACTCGGGTCTCCTTAGCCCTCGATCTGGGGCTTTTGTTTCATTCTCCCCCCCCCCTCAATCCGCCGTGTTCGAACTGCACGCTGCATGTCAAAACGCTCGCCATCTCGACGCTTCTTCCATGGAGTTCCACGCCGTCGTCTCTCTTGCGCACACCCGAGGTTATTGAACCCTCCTCAGTTTTAAGAGACGTCAACTTACAACTTGAACGCTCGCCGGTTGTTGCAGGCCACTTCGCGTTTTGGACATTTTGGGGCCGTGTCCTCGGCAACGGTGAAAGAGGAAAGGAAGACGAGGCACAAGGCGTCTCGCTTTGACTGACGTTTTACACTTTCGGTCGCAGCTCGGAAAAAGCAGCATCGCATTGATTACATTCGACCAAATTTGTTTTAAACCGCACCCCAAAATAACAGTGAACGACTCCACTCTGCACACAGTGTGCACCCCGTGTTAACCAAACGCGATAACTCATCCTGTCACGCTGCCACCTGGGTTAGGTGAGCGAGCGAGATTATTGCCCTTCTATTCGAACTACCGGTTTGCTGGAGGGGGCACAGGTTTGTACATTTCCCACGACAATGCCATTGTGGAAACTTCACAATCGCCACTTTTTGTTGTTGTTTTGATGGTGCTTTTTGCCCTGAATGGCGATTGACTCAGGCAGACCTTTGGCACTCCCCCCATCGCCCCTTGCAGCGCCATCACAGCCTCGTGCTGCGTCCTGCCATAAGCCGCGGATCGTCAAAACGCTTTGACCTTGGCGCGCTCCCCTACGATCGACCGC